TTACATTGTTAAATTAGGGATGGTTAGCACAGATAGTCCTCGTGTAACTTTGCACCAAATTCGAAACAAACAAAATAAAACAATCATCTTATTCTGGTTCTTTTGAACTAAATTTCAAAGGAGGAGGTGTTTCCAAGTTTATTATGTCAGGCTACTGTCATGCTTTTTTCTAACTCCAGGAAGGATCTCCAATTCCTCCTAATTATAGACCTATTGCTTTGGCTCATTGTCTTTGTAATGGTTCATGCTAGTTTTATTTGATTCTTGGAATTAAACAACCTTCTTTTCAACAATCGATGTGTTTCCCCAGACAGTTATTCTCAATCGTATCACCTGATTAGACAAGAAACTTCAATCAGAGAAGCTTTTTATCTATATTTTATTTTAAGAAAATTTATAACACCACGTGAAGTTTTCATATTTTACTGGGCTCTCATTCATAAAGTTTGCATGGCTATTTACCAATTTTTATTTTTAATATTCTAGCAAAGAGGTCATTCTAGATCCATGTGGGATCAATACTATGTTGATCCTTCACGAAAGAGCTGAGAGTACTTTACGGCTGAATCTTGAATGTCACGTTTTTAGCTTTAGCCTTAAGATCAATTGTGTCACTGAACAATTTCCTTCTGCAGTTAAAAACAGCTTCTATGTTGCTGCCTTTCATATTTCCTATCGGTCATTAAATATACATTTCAATGAGTGGTTGTTCTAATTTGCCCTCAATAACTTTTGTGAATGAATCACTGCAAACAGTTTCAAAGTTTTATTATCTTAAACTATTTCCATGATTTTCTGCTACCAGTGTGAATTGTGCCCTAATTCTTAGCTCTATCTGGGAAATACACAAGTTTCTGTGGCTGCTGAGACAAAGTTCTTAGGAACTTTCTCTTTGAAAAAGCTGTTTTATTCCACTCATAAATCAACTTAACACTAAATGTACAAGGACACTGAATATCGTTCTCTTTTAGTCCTCTTGCGGAGTGGGCAGGTGTTCTTAGCTCAAGAGCTATTATGCCCTCATTCAATCTAAATGGACTATTGTCCTCTGGTGTACACCTCGGGTAAGGACTATGAATTGAAGATGTTGGACCTGTATATTATCAGTGGCTTTCTGCATTTCTCCAATCCAGAGTTTGTACCCACATCTCAATAAACTTCCAATTCACCTTAGACATTTGAAGCTTTCTTTTCTATGCAAATCCTAATCTCTGATACAGCATCTCACCTGATAATGTGTTTTTATGCCTTGGTGGGCTATGTTTTTTGCAAATACATAGTGTGCTATCCAAAAATTTCGCCTTCATATTCAGTCAATGTTGAATGACATGTATCTGACAAAAGATGATATCGCTGAATATGATGATCATCCCATGACTTGTTACTATCCTTTACTGTGATCCTTCATTGAGTTACCTGATGAATGATGAAATCGGACACTCCCATTTGTTTTTTTATAAACACCTTTCGAGCCATCCTTCTGTTCCAATTTTTATGAATGGTTTAAAATAAAGTTACTCTACTCTATATGATCAGTCATAGTTTGCTACAGCTCTGTAGTTGCTCACAGGGTCACCTATATAGATTCTGTGCTCACTATTGAGTTATATGCCATTTCATTTGCTCTGAATGATACTGAAGCTAAATTGTACTCTTATCATACCATCTGTACTGACTCAATTAGCTCTTTGAAAGCTGTAGAATCACTTAACGTTAGTTTTTACCCATTTTTTCTATATATTAAAGGACTAATCCATTTATCCCTATCATCTGTATCCATTCAGTTTTTCTGAATTCCTGACCATGTCGGAATCTAAGAGAACGAGCTCGCTGACACCATACCAAAATCAGCCTCCGCTGGCGATGTTACAACCTTGCCTAATCCATACTTGAATTTTAAGCCTATCATCAAGGCAAAACTTCACGTCAGTTGAAAAGCAATTTAGGGTGAGCAACGTATGAAAAAGCTTTTCCAGAGAAAACTTACTATCCCTGACTGGTTCTCTAGTTTGTGTGTGGATAGGAGAGAGGAAGATATCCTTGCTAGGCTCTGTATTAGCCGTAGTTTACTAAATATTACAAATCACTTTTAGGCAGTCACTAGGACCACCACAGGCGGAGCCATTTTAGACGTGTTTTTGCTCATAGTTAACATTAGACATTGTCATTGGTGTACAAGTTAACTATATGGTTAATTTTTTTCGGAGCATAGGTTTTTAAAATTATATTTAACTTGTTAATATTTCTTAACTAAAAAGGTATTTTCTATATGTATTTTATTTTATTTATGCTTAATTATGTCAATTAAATTTAGTTGACAGTTGTTTCAAAAAACGGTTTAGTGTAGTGGCCCTAATGCCATGTGTCATAAAACCCCAAACAACCAAACTTGATTTCAATAGTTTCATTTACTTTGTTAAACTAGTATGTTCTTTTTAGATTTCAATATCACGAGCAATGTTTCAATTCACACCGGAGGCATTACAGGAATGCAGTTGACAAAGTTATATTTTTCACTTACACGGGAGTGTGAGCTTTGGATACATATTAAGGAACTAATATACTGATTAAGTTGCACGGCACCTCATTTCTGTTTCTGCTAAGTGATCAATTGCCGGGAATACATGTCAACCTGTGTTCAAAACTATAATTCAACGTAAAGAATTTACCCTTGTGTAATATGCCTATCCGGGGATTACTAGAGCAAGGAGGCGGGAAAAGGAGAAATATTCTTGTTCTTAGAACTAATGATGTTGAGAGTGCATGGTTATTTCACACATAAAGCGGTATATGAAGAAGTGTGTTTCTTTCATGTTAAATGAAGTACTTTTTACAAACCCCACTATTGTGTTCTTTTTAATTGCATTCACAAAAGACATTCATGAAAAACAAAATCATGCTTCAATTTGCGTTAGGCGTTGCTCAGCGAACCACCAGCACGATATTTATTACACCACTAATAACTAGTTATTGTAAAACAAATTTACGTCGTATAAATTGATTTGTTCTTATTTACCATTAACAAAATAAAATAAATAAACTTTAAAGTTTGAGATAAAAACTAAATATCCACGAATAATGAAAAAGTGACGAAAGAATAATATACAAAAGTGGAAGTTTATACTTTTTTGCTGTTTTATAAGGAATAATTACAAAAAATTAATTTGCCATAAAGTACGTTTTCAAGCTTTTGCTTTCATATAAAATAGTAATAACAGATGAATTAATGAGTTATTATGGTAGTAATATTGTTTTCAAACTGTTTAATTGTCGTAAACAACGTGCATTGCATGTTCTTTTTTTCCAGTTACAAATTTCAGGTAACTCAAGTATAATATCTGTCAAATGTAATTTACAATATTTATTACATTGGAGTTTTATTTCAAACAGGAAACTACATTTAATGTTTTCCGTATAATTGTTATAGGGCCTTAACCAAAAATCCCTCTTGTTTTCACTTGTAGAATGCATTTTCATTTTTCAGAAATGAATAATTCTTTATACGGCTTAACAAAACGAAAGATATTAATAGTATACTCTTTGTCTTCACTTTTATCATGAACGATATTACCAATATTATTTCCTTTACATAATAATTAAACTAAAGTATTTCATAGCTCATACTTTAGACAATGTGAATTAATTTTGAAGTACTGGTTGATTGAATAGTGTGGTGTTTAGTGTCTTAAACTATAAACAATGTAACGTTTAGCAGACCACTTGTAACTAACCCATATTTATTCTGTCGTTACTTTCATGCAGTACAAAAGTAAGTCTTGAATGTGTTCGCTAACGACTGGCATTGATATAGTAACTCAAACCAAGACATTGATGTAGTAACTCAAACCAAAACAATGATTTAGTAACTCAAACCAAGACTTTGATGTACTAACTCAAACCAAGACATTGATGTAGTAACTCCAACCAATACATTGATGTACTAACTCGAACCAAGACATTGATGTAGTAACTCAAACCAAGACTTTGATGTAATAACTCAAACCAACATGTTAAAGTGAAAACTTAGTCCTCATATAAATATTCTCGTCATAACATTACCAGTCTCATAGTTGAACGTATAGAAATACGTTTTGGTAATAACAGTGTTTATATCTAGCTTTTGTTTTTGGCCTACTATCTATATTTCCGTTTCAAAAACGATAGAGCTTATACCCTTTCCTCAAAGTCCAGTGACAAAAACTTAATAATTACAACAAAGCTTTTCAAGTTCATACTGTGACTTAATATGTATACATATATACATTATTTTGAAAAATGGATCGCAAACATTATTATTATCTTATGAAGTTTCAAATTGTATTGATGATAGAAATAATTTGGCAATTTCCAATAGAATGACACTTTATGTGATAATAGGCGTAAACGATTAGGTCTAGACTGCAAGATAGTATCAGGCATAGCCGTCTGTAGTTTAGAACTGCTAACCAGATGAAGGGCAAACCAGTAGCACTCGTCGACTATACGGCGATACTTAACTAAATAGGTGGATAATTATTTTTCTAACGAAAATGACTAAATGCTAATAGAACATAATATTAATCAATGATAGGATAGATAGATACACTTCCTATCTCCAGTATATTTTATGAAACCCTGCAACTATTTTGCTGTACGGTGTCCTTTGTTTATTCACGTTATCTGAAACTGAATATACTTCGATGAAAAACTATTAGATAACTACTAGTAAGAATCTTTCTACATTATATATTAATATTTTTCTGTTTATATCATACCTCGTATAGTAACTTTATGATAAAATATATTTAAAAACAAATCAATGTCTATTTTTAAACGAATTAAAGACGGCAAACAGGAGACTTGTTTTTAAAAGATAACTTTGTATATTACCAAAAAAAATATAAACATTCAGTTAACACACTTGGTTTATTATTTGTTATGAAAGTTAGTATCGTCTGCTCTAGGAACTTTTGTTGTAAAACAGTTATTGTAAAACTTCAGAAATATCAATTTCAACTTACTTCTTATAACTGTCAGAGTCACACAAACAACTAGCCACCAGTAATTTCTCTCGGCCGTCCAGTATTTCATTGCTACTTCAAATATTAACCTTTGTTTTATGAAATTATTCCTTCTCGTTTTTATGTGGAAAGAACGTTATAGTCATTGATATTATTAACATTTCATAACAGTTGCTTCTGCTATGCCTTATTCTTAAGGTGACATCAAACCATATTTTGTACATGCGAAGACAAGCCAAAGGAGGGTGATAAGTACCGTACCTCATGTGTGCGCAAGATTCTGAAGTCTGTTTAACATCACATGCAATAGCATATGTATGGACACTGCTGATAGAGGGCGCTACTTCTCTGTGGCGACGAGAAAAGACAGCAGGTGAAATATCTTCGTTTCACTGGAGCTTAGAACAAGCAAAATATGCACAGTCTTTCCAGTAAAATCATAACAGAGAATACAAATGTGTGTGGAGATTTCGTAAAATCTCTTTTGTACTAAAAAATAATAGCAGTACTTGTGGCGTATAGAAAAACTTAAAATCAACATTTCTTAAGCATCAAATGTAATACTTTTTCCCTTTGCATGCTAAGTATTTTAGTAATCCTTTCGAATATAAAAATATAAGATTGGGTACTATTTGCATACGTATAGTATATATGTATATATTTACTAAAATTTGTCCTGTTCTGTTATTTACTATTTTTACCTCCTTTAATCCTGTAATTCCATTCCTGTATGACTAAATTCCTGTCAGCATTTTGTAGCTAGGCAACCTTATCAAGTAAATCATTTATAGACAGAGAGTATATATAAATTACTGCAGTTCCTACGGAAAGATTGGCAAACGGTAATAAACATGGAGAATGATTAGAATATCTTCTTTACTATTCGCCTAAGTTGAAGGAATGGAAATGAATTTTTTATGTTCTAATTCACATCTCCTAGTGAATGTTTAATATAATCATTTTCCGCCCATTTAAATTTTTCCGACGCTAACATCTATAGCTCTCCTGTGTTTGGAACCAATGAAATTGTTTAGTGGCAAATTTCTCAATTTTAAAGTATCCAGACAAAATCTTATCACGTCAAATAACAATTATTACAAAATTTGCCAGCAACACTAAGTTTTCTGTTGCAAGTGTTACTATATAATGAATGTTATCTACAATTCAAATTTAATCAAAACCTTTATCAAAATAACCATATTTATGTCTGATGGCGTATTGGACATCGTATGTTTAGGAACTCACTATATTTTAACGTGATATGGGTTTTTGAGACTGAAGGGCAAAAAGGCATGTGTGTTTTCTTTTCTTTTATAATTCAGCAACTACAACACAAAAGGCAACTGGACACTGGTAGACTGACTTGTGATCTTGTCAAATGATGTTTCAATCGATTAAATACATTGCCTTCATTATTCCTAATGAACCATTTCGGGAACATAAACTTTTGAAGATATAAATCTTTTACACGTTGAAATGAATCTAAATATTATTAAACGCTCTCTTTGAAACTGGAACATTATTATAAACTTATTCGTTCTACTACCTGTAACGTTTGATTAATTTTGATAAACAAGAATGATCCGAGATTATGTTCTTTAAGAAATTATGGTGTCTCAAACGCGTTGAACATACCAGAATAAACTCGGTTCTTTCGTAAAGTTAATAACTATTAAACTTTTACTAAACATTAATGCGTACTTTAATGCCACTATATGGTGCTGTCTCTTGCCTAGCTCGTTCTGAGATATTACAAACAGGCTTGACGTCATACCACCCCATATTATAATAACCTGGACCTACTACTTAAGTTTAGAACATAACCTCATCGCCCGCTGCTCCTCCTAGTTAATTAGAAAATTTTAAGATTTTTTATTCGTTTATACGTCATTAAGTTCTTACTTGGAAGAGCGAGATCAAAGATATACTGAAATTGAAGTACTTCAATCGCACTTGTTTCTTTCTTTAAATCTATGGTGATATTTTACGGAGATATGTTATATGACGACTCGATTTACCAAGGTTTGTTTGTTTTCGCATAAAGACACACATAGTGGTTCCTCGTTTTAAACAGACTAGAGGAAAGACAACTAGTCAACAGCAATCATCGCCTATCTTGGACAACTCTAATCGAATAGTGAAGTTTGACTGTTACTCTTATAACGCACGCCCTTCTTCAGATCCATAGTCTGGCACGTTAACCACTATACCACGCCCGTCTTCAGATCCATAGTCTGGCACGTTAACCACTAAACCACGCCCGTCTTCAGATCCATAGTCTGGCACGTTAACCACTAAACCACGCCCGTCTTCAGATCCATAGTCTGGCACGTTAACCACTAGGCCACGCCCGTCTTCAGATCCATAGTCTTGCACGTTAACCACTAAACCACGCCCATCTTCAGATCCATAGTCTGGCACGTTAACCACTAGGCCACGCCCGTCTTCAGATCCATAGTCTTGCACGTTAACCACTAGGCCACGCCCGTCTTCAGGTCCATAGTCTGGCACGTTAACCACTGGATCACGCCCGTCTTCAGATCCATAGTCTGGCACGTTAACCACTGGATCACGCCCGTTTTTAGATCCACAGATTGATACGTTAACCACTCGACAACGCCCGTTTTCAGATCCATAGTCTGGAACGTTAACCACGCCCGTCCCAATGTTGTGAAATATAGTCAATCTATTTCTCGATGTTATTTTATTATAGTGTATTGCTCTTTAGAGGCGAGTCCTACTTATTGCACAGAAAGAATATGAAATCTTATATACCATGATGCACGTGTCACTCACTCACTCGGCAGTAGGGAAACCACCCGTTTTAGCATCTTCGACGTCTTTTTGTTTTCAACTATCAACTCGAAGTTGAATATTTTTGCACCAAAAACTTCGGTAGAACTCATTTTCCGAAGATTTCTTCTTGCCAAAGTTTAGTTGTATGTCAAGTGAGAACCGTTAGGAATGTTTCACTGCCTAATTCTGTGTGCAGTTGTAGTGTATCTTGCTAAAATGCCGTCAACCCTTGATGAAGCTCTCCGTTTACAAACCAGCTAAAAATTGCTTAAGATATCAAAGGTATTTAACGTGGTAAGTGTAAAAAATGTAGGTGCTGTGATAAATTTCTGATTGAAACGTAATCTTTAAAATCTGCGTATTGTGATTGCACTCCTGGGGTTCAGGAGATGGTGGAAATAGCGACTACTAATGAAACTGGTGAGTGAGTACTTTAATTTTCAGGCAATAAAAGCTGGGCGTAGGGCGTTCTCAGTTCGATTTGTGTTAAATTCTAAGGACGATAAAACAGCTATTCTTGTCACTCAGAACCTAATGAACCAATTGTTTTCGTGCTTAAGAACAATAAGAATATTATATATATTAACAGAGGATATTTTTGGCTTCATTCTAGTATGTTGTTATAAAATGTTGATCCATTGTAAGACAATTCCTCGTTGTTAAAACAAAGTTTTTGTACAGTTTTCTTCTCGATTTCACCTTCAAAAAAGGGAACATTTTTGGTTGAAAACGCTTTGATATTGGAAGGTCTTTAAAACCTGAGAACTCGTTTGATTACCCACTCTTCTAGTAAGTGGCTGACTCTTGGGTACTGTGTTCTTAAATATAAAAAAATCCCCCCTTCTACAAAAAAAAAAAAGTTTCAAAGTGCACCTAATTTGGATTTGTGCATAATACAGTAGTTTTTCTTTACATACAAGTATCATTGACTAGCATAAGGTGAAACTACCAATAGTATTTTTTGGGTACAGTCAACAGCAAAGTTTGTTTTGTTGAATTTCGCGCAAAGCTACTCGGGAGGCTATCTAGACTAGCCGTCATTAATTTTAAAATAATAGACTAGAGGGAAGGTAGCTAGTTAATATCACTCACCGCCATCTGTTAGGCTACTGTTTTATCAACAAATAGTGAGATTGACCGTCACATTATAACATCCTCACGGCTGAAAGTACAAACATGTTCGATGACAGGATTCGATCCCGTGAGATGCAGCTTGCGAGCCGAGTATCCTAAGCAACAGATTATACCAGGCCTTCAAAAGCAATCTATGTTAGAGTTTGTTTGTTTGTTTTGAATTTATGTACAAAGCTACACAATGGGCTATTTGTGCTCTGCCCACCACGGGTATCGAAACCAGGTTTCTAGCGTTGTAAGTCCGCAGACATACCACTGTGCCACTGGGGGGCCTATGTGAGAGTGTCAGATATGTCCGCAAAAGTTTGGACAAAAGCAAGCTCTCGGTGAGAAAACTTTCATTTATTCTCTTTTTGATAGTGTCAATAGCTTTTCTTCACATTCCTCCATCATTTCTTTAGGTGTACACGTATTCACACGTCCAAATTACAAAATTTTTCTTCACAATCAGCTTTATTTGGCTGAAGATTTATTTTAGCATAATGTGAATTCAACTGAAAAGGTGCCTAAAAATATTCTGATAACTCAAAAATTAATTATGCCATAAATATCTAAGCAATAAAGGTATGATAATACATTTTAATTCAATGTTTTATATTATGGCCGCTTAAAAAACACAATATTATGCTTAATAGCCAAGAACAAATTTGTTTGTTTGTTGTTGAGCATAAAGCTACACAATGGACTATCTATGCTCTGCCCACCGCGGGTATCGAATTCGGATTTTTAACGTTATAAGTCCACCGACTGAGCAGCCAATGGAGGCAAGATAAAGAAAGAAAACCTTAGTAAAATGCTACCTAAAAAAGTTCATATATATATTGGAATAATGTGAATATTCCAATGCTTACCAACAGTACGCTGGAAACTGTGTAATCTGTAAACTCTACTACAAGTTTATGAAAAGTGATGGGATTTCAAGCCCCCAAGAAAACTTTTTTGATTTAGTGTGAGGTTCCCCATCTTTTGCTTTTCATACTATTACACCCAAGGTTCAATTAACTGACCTTCTTGCATTTAGAAATTGTCTTTGAGTAGGTCTCTTGTAGTAATTGATATTGCTGTGACTAGCCACTGAAAATGAACACTATGTGGCAACGTACAAACTGCTAATAAAAATCTTCTACAATGCCAATATATTCGAGGGACCCACTTTGAGACTAATAGTGGTTGGAGACGGCTTGAATGGGTAATGAAGAAAAACTTTAATATAAGTTTAACATAGCAGCAAATGTACAACGTTTCGACAAGGTTTTGTCATCATCAAATACAAGATGATGACAAAGATGATTGTACCTAATGATGACAAAACTTTGTCGAAACGTTGTACATTTG